AATTTTAATTAATTAATATTTTAATCTTAATTATAATCAAAATCCATACCCGCCCTAGCGTCTCTGATTTGATGTTCAACACCCTAGGTCCCCTTTCCCTGTTCTCTACGTTGTGGTAAAAATATTTGTAAAAATTTACTTTTGGTTTTTTATTAAAAAATATTACACTCGAAAAACTTCACAGTTGTACGTCTTTTTTTTCTCAAGCATTTTTCTCTGCCATGGATTCCTATCTCTGTCTCTTGTCAATATCATAGCCCCGTTTTCCTTTTTTTTTTTTTTGAAAATAGGTAATGAACATAGCCCCGTTTTCAAGTTGTTAAATGGAATTGCCTTGCCATTCAACCTCATGCAGGCACAGCTGAGCAGGGATCAACTTTCTGCAAAAGCAGAACAAATAATGCAGAAGAAATAATTATTGGCCTATAAAAAACAAAAAATGCCACTATGTGACAGTGAACAGAGATATAAAGTCTGAGCGAATGCAAATGTACAATTCTTACCGGCGTCTGACACCGTAGACCGGTGAGGCCCCATGTGAAATGTGCCCTTAAAATCTCTAGACATCAAAGGTACATTCACATTTAGAGATATGTTCTTCTATATATGTACTTGAACTTTAAGCACCTAAAAATGAATAAATCTAACGAAGAGTGAATGCATTTTTACTAGTAAAGTCATGTATTTATAAGAAAACTTTGATATTTTCATTGTGTTTAAATTGGGCAGCAGATTTGGATGGTTGCAAGCCTAATATTTTTTCACTCATCAGAAGATCGTTAGTTGATTTGGAAAATGCTTAGCAGCAAATTGATTTGGAAATGAAGACTCATTTTGTTTTATCAATGCTTTGATTTTACCTTCTTAATTTCCAAGAAGGAGGTTCGGATCACCAAGATTTTCACAACCGTTCAACAAATATGCATACAAAATATCATTCCATGTATCATTTAGTTCCGGCAAGTAAGCACCAGCGAACACAATCAACAAAATTTTCAAGATAAGATCTCTGTTCCCTGTCAAGAGTTTGCCCTTCCATTCACCATAAACAGATATAAGCATCTTTCTAATCTTCTGACAATTGTGTAATGTTCAAAACTGTGATCTTTAGTTCTTGTAAGATGTTGCAAACTATCTCCATGATGGCAAGACTAGATCCAATTCCCCAGTATGATGCTTCTTGGATTGGATAGGTATTCACTGAAGCAATCTCACTACCGCCTGGCTTCCATCCTTCCCCTTTGATGTATGCTGCAGTAGCAGCAGTGACATTCCAGAAAAAGCACAAAACCAATCCTGCATAAGGAAGAAATATACATTTACCATTCATAACATATGTCAATACAGATACTGATAAGCATAATGTCATGTATAACATCATGTATATAATTGAATGTATTCAGTCAATAAATATAATATACTGAAAATGAAAGGCTTAAAATAACCATATGGAAAATTAGAAATGAAAAAGCTTGCATACCTAAGAATGATGAAAAGGCAACGTACATCAACTTTTTTAGATAAATCAGTATATCATTACGAACAATTGGGGCAAATGGTGGCCCAATCTGCAAAACAAAAAACGAAAAATTCTAGATTGTCATGGCATGAATGAAAGGCTAATAGCCCATCAAAGGCAATAGAAATAGGTCACTACGTGGATATGATGAGTAACCAACAAAACATAACATCAAATGCAAGTTACCTCTTGCTAAAGCCTCTATTTTGCTTCACTTCCTGTGCTCTATTTCCCAAAGAAAACTTATGAGTGAAAATTGTAAAAGTCTACACGTGTCAATTCAATCTCCTTGATATACCTCCTACTGCTGGTCAAATTCAACTTTCGTGGCCAATCTCCCTACCTTTCCTTTGCAATTCCTAGGATAATTCGAACATTCTAAATCAGAAAACCATAATTGCTACTCAATTTCATAGAACAAGAGGGAAGAAGAAGCATGCATGGAGATGGACTAAGGTAAATACACTAACCTTAGTGGGTCTAGTAACTGTAGCAAGAGGGATTTCATGATTTGCATCACAACCATAGTTGAGAGCAACTGGTTTAGGAGGAAGAGTTGAAGGCATTGAAGGGTTCTACAAATTCACAATCATTGATCAATAATCAGAATCATATCATTAATATATATATATATATGATTTTCATTTTTAGTAAAAAAGACCTTTCAGTATTTGTGCTTCTCTGCTGTCAACTGAAGTTTCTTCCCGTAACAAATTTTGGTAGGTTCATAGAAAGAAAATTTGATGGCATCTTCATACTTGTCTTTGCCCCATGAATCGAAAACTATCCCGCTTTTCCTACTAGCTTTACCATTAGAATCTCACTTCACCATTAAAATTAACATCATTAGCATCATCACCAAGTTCCCCACCTTCAACCGCTTTACGAGCATAAATCCATGCATCTGCAATAGGTAAAATGAAAGAAAGAAGAAAAATGTTAGTTAAGAGCATAAAATGTAGCTCCATAGAAAGAAAAGGTTAACTATTGGAAGCACTCCAATAATGTGTATATAAGAAACAATTTAGGCACTGAAGCAACCAAAAACCCAGAGGAAAGGGAGACCTTGAGCTTGAGCTAATTGACTCAGCCATCAAAAGGTGCTTAATTTAAGCTATACCTAGAAACCAATTTATAAAGAAAATGTATAGATCACAAAAATGCAATAAAACCGAAAATTAAGAAAAAAAAAGAAGTGAAATGGAATAATAAAAGAAAAACGTTGTTTCATCCATAGATATTAACTAATCTTATTACCCACAATTCTGTTAAACTTACTTTTTGAAAATTTTGGCCTACTAAATACAATTACCATCAAATAACCAACGAACAAAACTCTAGGGAACAAGCAAAAGAAAAAAATGAAGAAAATGAAATGCAGTAAACAAGTCAAAATACACTTACTACTTTGAATTTATGAGAGCTGAGCAATTATTTTAAGCTCTAATTTTCCACCATGCCCTGCCTTTTCTGTTTTGGCGATTCCTAAACCGAACTCCCTTTATCGTTCACTACAAACTACAAAAATTATTTCCTTCTTAGGAACCAAAAGAATTTAGGATTGCAAATGTTATAAAGAAAATGAAATAAAATAAATATGGTTTTCTAGGTAAGGAAAAAAACCTGCAAAAGTGGAACAAGGCCGGCGATGAAGGGCTGCCAGAGTGTTCTCCAATTCAATGCTTAAAGCAAGGGAATTTGAAATTATAACAATATATCAAACACGGAAGGTATTACAAAAATTACATTTCAAATTGATAACAGAGTAGAAATCCAATTAACACAACATGCTTGACAACTTAATTACAACACAAAACAAATTACCAAATAAAAACAGCACTAAACCAAGTCCATCCAATAAATAAAAGACACATAAATTGAAACAAAAACAAGATTATTGTCAATCAAATCAAGGAGTATTGGCCCTAGCTAAGTCTCATTTTTCTTTTGCTTTGCTGCTCCACCAAGAGAAGTTGCCTTTGCTTGATAAAAGATCCTACATTCAATATCAAAGCTTTAAAATATGTCAAAATCTGGAAACAAGAGACCAACAAATCGATCCTAAGAAAAACTATAGGAATTGAAAGACATAAGGAGTGATGTAGTTTGATTCCATAGTACCAAACTAGTTTGCAAGATGTTGAGAAATCATAGTATATAATAAATATACACAAAACAAATGAAAAGATAAAAAAAAAGAAGAAATATTAATGTTCCAACCACGAATTTATTACTTGATTATCTTTTCCTAAAATTTTAGAATAATAAACACAATTCTCATTTTGTTAACAATATGCTTTGTTGAAGCTATTTTACTCAGCGATAAAAAAGGGCTCAATTTCAACTGCACATACCCAAAACTCAAGAAAGAGAATAAAATAACGAAATCGCGAACTCAAAAACACCAAAATTCAAAAAAATCAAATTAGGAAAGTGAAAGCACAACTTACATTATTGGAGTTGATGAGACATGAGACAAAGGATGGATGTATCTCAATCTCATCTCTTCTAGAATACCTTTCTCCTACATCGGCTTTCTGGTCGTGTTTTGTAGAGGAAAGGCCTTAACTGCCACATGTTATGGTGGTTGCATGCGACTCATTAGTTACACACATCTATTGCTCTATAGTTATCTGTACAGAATTGAAGATTTCTTAAGGGCTGCCCTTGCAGATGAGATGAAAAAAAATTTTAAGCAACTAATCAATCCAATTCAAATTAGAAAAAATACTAACCATTCAATAATCAACTAATTCCAAGAAAGGTTGGAGTATGTTCTTAGCGTTAGGATAATCCCACTCCACCACTGATTCCCACCATTCTTTTGAACGTCCATCTATCGTTATGTTTGAGAGATGAGGAGGAGGAGATGGTTGGCCATTATTAAGCAGGGGAAGTTGCACAGGGATTCTCTTTAACTCAGGACATTTTGTTATCCAAATTCGTTCAATAGAATCACAAACCATGACTCCATTGGCACTACAGATGCTTTTCAATTGGGGTAAGTTTGACAAATGAAAATCCCTTAACTTGGGAAAAGTGAAAGTGAATTTATCTGGTGATGCATTTAAATTTGATGAGGCTATTATCTCCTCCATTTGTTCACAACCAATAACCCAAATCACCTCTAAGTTTGGGAGGGCCTGCAGTAGCTCAAGTGGAAGCAACTGCCTTATTCCTGAACATCCATCTATTTCAAGTGTCTTCAGATTGGAAAAGAAGCGTGGTGGTGTTGCTACTCCTTCCACTCTCACGAGTACCCACAACCTAGGCAAATCCCAAAGATACAGATCTTCAAGCTTATTGACTAGTGAACTACATGCTGAAGAGGAGGATGAGTCTAAGTTAACCACATACTCTGTCTCTTCACAATCACTAATAATACAAAGACCCAACTCGGATGCATTTTCTAACAAAGCTGTTTTGTTTAAGCTGCTTCTCATGTTTTATAGTTATGGATCTGCAAAAGCTGAAGGTTATCTGGAAGCACTATACATTCTTCTCCAATCTCACACCCACTAATTGTAAGTCTACATTTATATTTAGGCTCATCAATATCAATAGTATAGTTCATTTTTGTTCCCACTAGAAGCTTATAAGCAATAAAACTCTGGAAACTTTTGAACTCACTCAGAAAATAATTGAAGCCTTGCATGTCATCAAAATTACATTCTAAAATCTCCAACTTTCTCAATCTAGCAACCTCTTCTAAATTTATCTTTAGATTGGTTCTTCCCCAATCACCTTTTGCCACCAAATACTGGAGACTAGATAATTTAGACAATATTCCTATTGGAATCTCTTTCAAATCTTTACAAAATAAATCAAGATATTCGAGACTTACCAACATCTCCATGCCTTGAGGGACCACCTCAATTGCTGCCCATTTCAGATCTAACTTCTTCAATGCCACAAGCTTTTCTAAGGAAGGCAAGCACTTCAACCTCTCACACCCCCTTAACCGCAGTGTAGAGAGATACTCCAACTTAGAGGTGGAACCAGGTAAAGCTTCAATATTGGTTCTAGAAAGATCAAGAACCTTGAGTCCACTCATATCTTCAAAAAGGGATTCTAGAATCTTTGTCAAAGGATTGTCTGATAATATCAAAGCTGACAAGGTTAGACACTTTGGAGTCAAACCAATAGGAATTTCTGAAATGTAATTGGCCATTAAAGATACCTTGTTAAGATCAATTGCCCACTCGTGCTTATTTGGTACCTCTGTCAATTTCCTACCAGCTTTGACCATATATCCAACTCCAGGACCTATGCTTTTGATAGCCATGTCTCTCACTACATCATGCATCTTAAAAATATTAACAGCCCTGTCGACAGTTTTCTCTAACAAGCAGTTCTTTTCAAGCCTATTCAGGAAAACATCAGCCCTATCATAAGCATCTTGTCTTTTTTCTGACTCATGAATCAATCCTTCATCAATCCAACCTTCTATCAACTCTTCTCTAGAAAACTCATAATCTTCTCTAAATAAGGAGCAATATAGAAAACATTTTTGGATTTCTAAATTTCTTAGATGGTCGTAACTAAATCTTAACCGCCCAAATATCATTTCCTCCATATCATTCACACTTTTTACGCGTTGGCGTAAATCATTTAGTGCATTTCTCCACTCTACAATATTAGGTTCACCTTCTCCCTTCATGCCCCCTGCTATTACAACAATTGCCAGTGGTAAACTGACGCAATCCTCCACAATAAGCTTCAAAATTTCTTCCAATCCTGCAACTTGTAAAACATCATGTCCAACCTTGTTGAGGAATAGATTTAAAGACTCCTCAGCTGAAAGAGGCTGCACTTTAATAATCTTACAACCCAAATAATTGCATACTTGAGCTGATCTACTGGTGATAACTACTTTGCACCCATTCTGGGGTGTTGGTTCCGGGATTCCAACATCATTGAAAGAAAAATTGTCCCATACATCATCTAATATTAGCACAAATCTCACTCTTCCCATTATCTCCATTAGTTTTGCTACCCTCCTCATCAGTTCCTCATCTTCTCGGAGTTTCACATCCATAGCAGCAGCAATCTTCTTTTGTACTTCAAAAACCTTTAAAGGGTATGATACAGTAACCCAAATCACTTTTTGAAACCTATTCTCCCTCAATAAATCATTGTTAACATGCTTCATGATTGTAGTCTTTGCCAACTCCACCAATCCCACAAACACCAATCGTTCCAACCTTTTCACCCATCAAGTACTCCCAAATTCTTTCTTTAGCAGAAATTTCACCCTCTAAATTCTCTGTTGGAATTATGCTTCCAGGAGCTGGTGGTCTAGCAGTTACAAGGCCTTCATTGAAAATGCCTCTCTCTTGAATTCTCCTCACCACTTCAACTTTTTCACGCACAAGTTTATCAAGACTGGCGCGTTTGAGGTATGGAACTCTGCGTGCCCTTTCTTCAATATCTTGTTTGTCTTTTTCGATCTTTCGAACATCGCTAAGCCAGCCCCTCACTTCTTGTTTCACCACTTGCCCCGAGTGAACCTCTGCTTGTATTCTTGAATTAACATCAATTTTTCTCCTCTTTAAAACCTGAAATTCGCTTCTGAACTCATTCAGATCTTCTTCAAGTTTTCTGTGGCAGTCTACATAATCCCAGACATAATCCCGAACAGAATCCCCAAATATCGTTTAGATTTCACGAAGTGCCTCCATCAATAAATTTCCTAAAATGTAATAGTTATGTTGTTAAAATTAATTTTTATTTGGAATAAAAAATGTAAGAAACAATGAGTTATGATGAACTGACATTCGATTTTTATATACGTTGTTCGTTATACAGTAATTTTTTATATAAAAATATATTTATTTTTAAAAAATAATATAAAAATTTAAAAATCTCAAATATTATGAAGAGATAAATTTTTAATATTTTATGTAAATAAATATAAATAAAAATTATGTGTAAACTGAGTTCACTCAAAAACAATTAAATCACGAGGTACAAGATACTTGACATTACTAATATATAAAACATGATTCATTTCTATTGTCTATTTTAAAAAGGCAAAACCTAAACATAAAAAGAAAAAAAAAAAAGAGGAAAAAAAAAAAAAACTAAGAAGAAGTACACGAACATGATTCATGCATATAGTTCGGCTATAAGCTCATTAATATTTTCTTATGGCGCTTTTGATGCAAGCAGTTTAATGTTAATATTTTCTTCTTTAATTAAGCGAAGCAAAAAATCCTATATTTGAATTGTATTATATGTTGGTAAAGTATGTTAAATCATAAAAAAATTTACGGTACATAAAAAGTTGACATTAAACCATAAACATATGATTAAAAGAACATGATTAATATTACCATCAAAATTAAGATTTAATTTTTTTTAGAGATCAATGAAAAAGTAATTTTATTTCAGTGCATTTGTAACCCAAATATATATATATATAGATATGTGTGTGTATATATAACATTCACCAATATTTCATAATGATCACAATGCGTTCCCTTTAATTTTGCATTTGGTAAAAGTTCATGCCCTTATAATAGTGAAGTATATTTAATTATTTATGGCTTTTTTTTTTTTAAAATATTCACCCAATTCTTCTAGGCTTCTAGCCGTATATTTGTCAGCTCAAAGTTTCCTTTTTCTGTCCTAGACTCCTCTTACTTTCTCCCGTGATTTCTCTTCCTAATTTGCCCTTACATTACACAATATTTTTTTTTTGGTATTATATCTTTAGTATTTAGAAGTTATATTTAATTTTAATGAATTTAAAATTTAGTTGATTAATTTAAATCAAAAAGGAACAAAGGATAGATGATATTATAGACAGTTCACAAATTTATCACCATTTTCATAATAAATAAAATAAAAAATTAGGTTTCATAAAAAAAAAAAAGATTAGGTTATTTAGGTATGTTAAGTATAGTTATGGTTTTCAAAATTCAAATAATTAAAATTAAAAATTAAAAACTAAAATTAAAAATTAAAATTGCCAATTTAGTAGGTATAAAATTTAAAAATGAATATCCACAACTCTAAACTTCTTCAATTTATAAAAATTCTTAATTTGATTTTAGGGTTTCTAAATTTTTTATTTTCAATAGTTGCTAAATTTAAAAACTCAAAACCATAACCACACTATGGATATAGTTTTTGGTTTAACTAAATTAACTCAAATAACCAAAAATGTAGCTCGAATTAGCACTTAAGTAGGCAATTTTGCAACAATTAAAAAAAATTAAACTAAAAATAAAAAAACTAACAATTTGTTTAAAACTAGTTTTAATACTGACTACAAAAAACCATAAACTTATACAATAGTATTAAACTATTTTTGTTTTTATGTTTTAATAATTTTGATAATATGTTATAAAAATACATGAAAGTAATTATAGATTTAATTGTTATTTAGAGTTGTAAAATTTATAAAAATCAAAATAAAAAATAAAAAAATCATAACCATGTGTAAGGGTAAGTCCAGAGCCTCCCGCTAGAATAGCTACACGGCAGTTACGATGGACATCCTTGTATCTAAATATATCTCAATCTCCCGACCCCGAAATAACTGCTTGGAGATACATATCAAATCCCGGATATTTTGCTTAGCTCAACTCCCGGCCCCGAAATAACTGCCTGGAGATACACATCGGATCCCGGATATCTTACTTGGCATCTTGATTGACATGCCGCGTGGATTCTGCATCGGAACATATAAATACCTCTTAAGGGCCACGCCAAAAGGTGATGAAAAAACCAACCCTAAACTCCTTGTTCCTTCGCTTTACTGGTAGCCCCGATTATTGCTGACTTAAGCATCGGAGTATCTACCCCGAGATCTATCTCGGGGCTTTGCAGGTTTATCCGGAGTGCAGATCCGAAGTGAAGAAGGACGTCTAGTTTGGTGCAGTTACACCATGCCGAATGAAGCTTTAGTTGAGTCGGTGAATTTGACATTAGTCTTTAGATTATTCAAATAAAACTGATCAATAACCATGCCGACAATGGACTCAAATAAAATTTGTTGAATAAGGTTTTATCTAGATT